GTACAGGGCGGCCAAATAAGAATTTAAAGTACGGTAACTGGAAAACTATTTGTTGTCGGGACAGCCAATCGTTAGTGACGTATCTGTCTATAATTTATACCATGTCTCTGTTTGAACTTCCCCAACCTTCCTTCCGAAGCCTTAAAATCGATAATATCAAGCTGTTCAGCAAACATTTCTGCTTTTAGTTTTACGATAAGTCCAGAGAGTGGTACATTTTTAAGAGGTTCCTGTTGGAACCACTGCAACATTGCCCGATCCAAATCTTCAAATTTTTTCCTTCGATAACTATCCAGATACGCCGCTGGCTAAAAGAACTCGGAATATGGAACGAAGTAGATTCAGCGCATCTGTCGGGTCCTTACATAGCAAGTGGAAAATTTCTAACGGCCATATAACAAAAAAAAAACGCTTCCTTGTTCTTTAACCATTTCGGAAAGTAAACATATTTTATCGTAAAAAAGCAATATCCGTTAAATCAACTAAAACGGCGGAGTTTTCAATTACCTTTTTTTACATTATTATAGAATATTAATTCAACGATTATTATGTTTAATTTGACGTTGATGTTGACGGAAAGTGTGGGACCAATTAATAACGAGTCGGTTCGTCTTAATGGGACCGGTCCGTCTTCGCCAATAAAAATAATTACACCGGGTGTTCCCGGTAAACCTTTTTTTTTTTTTTAACGCGACGCGATCTTTGAACCCGCGGTCAAGTCGGCAATTTTATTTTTTTACTTGGCATTGCTTTTGATGTAATTTTACCTACTTAGAGCTATCTCTTTTAACTTTATTTAATATGGTTTATAGGAAAAGCTTAAAATTTTTAAAAATAATAAATTTTGAGAAATTTTTATATCTCTTTATTGAAATTGTTGAAATATCTGTTTTAAAGTTCTTAATATATATCTATCTTTAATGATAGTAACTTTGAGAAACTTTTTTACCTAATACTTATGCTCTTTAAGGGAGAAATGTATTTTTAACAAATTGTTTATTTTACAGAACTAAAACGATTTAAAAGAAAACCTATGAATCTTTTAAACATAAGGTGATAGTCATTTGGAGAAAACTTTTTTACTTACTTCTTTTAAAGAAAAATGTTGAGTGTTTATGAAATATCTTTTTCAAAGATCTAAATATGATTTATGGGAAAACGTTTAAACTTTCAAAAATGAGGTAATAATTTTGAAAAACTTTTGTTTTATGTTAACTTAACCTTACTTATATTAATAGTTGACGATATATATATATAAGTGCGACCTACGACAATGGGAAACGCCATGAATAACAATAGTCACTCGATTAACGGTTACATAAGTGCCAAACACCGATTATTTAAACAATGCGCGATCATTGTACGCGAGAACGTCGCTTTTAATTTGCATCGGCCAAGTTCTTTAACGCGGAAACGCACGGCCAACTTTCCGCTTTCGACGACCTTGACATTGCGATCCGTGAACCCTTTGTGTAACTTTTACATAAGCGGAGCCTACTTTTCGGTTTCTCGTTTCCGCATTGTTGCTCGGGCCGCCGCGTCCTTGAAACCGTCCTTGGAGTGAAAGCGTCTCGTATGAATCAACGGTACCTGTTATTTTGTTTGGGTGGCGAGCCGGCGAATGACGTGTAGTTTGGCGCGCGCCCGACGAAAGTAGGCTGTGAGTCGAGGTATTTTTCACCTGTTCTCGCCTCGTTGTTTTAAGGATCTGCCGTGGAAGGCGGAATGACGTATACCGACACAATTTACCACCATATGTGCAAATGACTCTTCTTAGATCGGCAACACATTATACACAAAATGTTTTTATCGCAAACTACTAGTTTTGGGTTTGTTTTTTCTTTGGGATGTTGTTGACACATGCGCGCAGTAAAACTTATCTGCGATTTGAGGTTATACTGTTACGGATATGTTGTTTGCAAAACTAAATATTTAATGTTTTAAAGAATATCAAAAATGGATTTGACAGTTGCTTTAAAAGAGAAAATATCACCAAAGATAGCTTTAATTGAAATGAATGTATGAAAGAATCAGTAAGTTCTTGTTGAACTATAAAAATACATACTAATAACACAGAAAGTATGATAGTAGTTTGTAAAATTCTTTTTATGCTAAATTTTGTTTTAAATAAAGAATGCATTTGAAATTATTCGATTTCATTGATGCGAAAATGTGGTTTGAAAAAAATTCGAAGAACGATTTTATACATCAAGCCAGGTTTCTTTGTACAGGGTGAGTCAACAATAGAGTAAAGTTCATTATCTCATTGGCTTTAAAAGTTATGAGAAAATGGTAAATACATAAGTTGTAAAGATTGTTAGAATGCACAATTTGAAATTATAGGGTGGCTCAAAAAGTGCGACGAATAAAACATACTTTTTTTGTATTATTCGAAGATGACGTAAAAGATATATGCCACAGAATTTGAATTGGATGTAAGAGGGTGTTCAAAATAAACGAATATTTTTGATTATATTTTAAACTGAAAAATCTCGAATTTATATTATTATTTTGTTGAAGGATCTTTCAAAAACCTATAACTTTATTAAGTATTCCATATACCTATTATTAGCCTCTGGCATATATTTCAAATTCTGTTGCATATATCATTTATAGTCTGTCTCCATCTTCATCGTGTTGACTTTCGACTGTCCCTCCCCAATAAAACGTTAACGATTTTATTACCTATTGTTATTGGGTAAAGCCATTAACAAAAAATGTATTAAAAGAAACCTGTCTACTTACAAAAACGCCGTTATCGTCTATAGGGGATATTATTCATAGCGGAGAATTGATGGACAGGAATAAACGTAGTGATTTTTAAAATCATTGATTGAGACAGACTTATACGTTGTGTTCCAATGACGTGATCGTAGCTTTTTTGCAAGTGTGCAAACTAGTATTTTATTAGAAAAACTAAAATATTAAAAAACCTAAAACGTTTAAGAAAATGTATGTTTTATTCTTCACCCAATGTGCATCTCAACAATCAATCAAAACAAGTAGACATGTCGTAGTTGATATTCGATAGTTGATTGGGTTGATTTTTGGGCTACGAAGGTACTAAAATTAATACGAAAATTAATACGAATCGAAATGATATAGAAGAATATATAGACGCCTAGTGAAATTTTTGCGTGAATACTTCGCAAACACAGTATAACACAGCACGCTAATACTCAGGTCGACGTAATCTACGTCAAAGTGTATGAACTTGTAAACCACGATGTTTTTCTCCAAATGCTTTCATGGTTTCAGTCTCTGGTATAGGGGAGTGCGTCATCAAAACTTTTTTTAACTTTTGGGTGTGCCGCAGGGTTCTAATCTCGGGCCTTTGCGTTTTGATACTCCCATTAACGATATGCCCAAAATCTATATAAAGCTGACGTGGTCTCCTTTTTGCACATGATTTCAAAATATTTAGAAAAATTCAATCTCGAGAGGATTTGGAAACAATGCAAAATGATCTGGATAAAATTGTCAACCAACAAACTAAAATTTAATGTTAATAAACGCTTTTATGACATTTAGGAGAAAGACTAACCGAATCGATCTGCATTAGGCAGAAAATCGGTAATTTTTCGTATGGCTTTCAAGATACACTGACGCCAAATCTGTATTTAATGTATTCGTTAGAAGTAATTCAAAATATTGTGTTATATGGAGGCTCTTTTATACGAAATACAGTGTTTAAAAAATACCATATGCTATCCTAGTTGACAATTGTCGAAGTGTCTAGGTGTCCCCTTTTTTTATCGTACCTGATGAGAACCAAGGCGTATACCAATTTCAAGCTCGTTTTCGGCGCGCCCAACAATTCCAATTTTTTCCGCATATTTTAAATTTAATTAACACATAAATCGAATAAAAAAACTAATTTAAAAAATATCGTCGATTTTTTTCTATAATTTTGCTTGCTTAGCTTATTGATCACCGTATACACTGCGTGTTAAAAAAAAAACGTTACGTTGTTTTCGTAAAGGAAATATTAAATAATAACGTTACTTTGATTAATAAAGAAATGCCCGCAAATGGAGAGGAGATAAAGCGATCCAAAAAAAAATATTTTCTGAACGATTTAACCAGTTTTTTGGGCTAAAAGATATTTTTAAACAATTTGCTATAAAAAGCATTAAAGTAAAAAAATATTGGTTTTGGAGTTATCTCAACTTTTATCAAGAATTAATAAATTGCCCTAAGAATATGATCGTTTGACTAGTTACCTGTAGAAACAAAACTGCTCAAGACGACTTGGATCTGTGAAGATAAAAACTATTTTTAACAATTTTTTTTTACAAAATTTCTGGATTCCTCCTGCGTCGGATTTTACCCTGTCGAACTTGCTGACGTTTCGCCAATCATCCTCTTGGCTTCTTCAGAGCTTCATTGAAACTGACTCGTATTTTACTCGAGCCCAGAATTAAAACACCTCTGCTCTTCTCTCTAATAATTTCAACATTAAAGATATTAAGCGTTCCATCAAAAAATACACGTCACCACAACCTTCCAATAGCAATGAGGCCGAATGCAATCCTACACTTGCCACTGTGGTCCTTAATGACTCTTGAAAAGAAAAGAAATAGTTATATTTTATATCACCCGAAATAATTTCTCCATTAAGCTTCCCAGAGAAAGCACCAATCTCTGTCAAAATAGTGTGTTGTATAGGATGTGATATAGACAACCATATTTCAGACAGCTTTTAATCATTTGTAGCTTTAGCGCTTTTGTTTTTAAATTTATGATTTATTTAGTAATAATTGTTGTTATTATTATGAGTTATGTACTATTCGCCTCATGTTGGAATTATATAGACTTTAAGAAGTGTGTTGACTATTTAATAATATAAAATAAGAAATAAACTAAAGGAAGATTTTTTTTCAAAAAATTTCTGATGCCAAAACATTTTTAGTTTTACAGACCTGCGCTGAAAACTTTAGAAACCACGTACTTTTAGGATTAAAGTGATTATTTTTTCATAATAAAGAAATCTGTTTCAGCATCTGATGAGCGGATGGTTTTTGGACTACAGCTTTAAATGCCAGCCCGTCGATTATTCAGTCAATGCCAAAGCAATGAGGGTAAATATCGCGCTGTGCAATGACGATGTGATCACTTGGAACGTTCTGTTTTTTTGAATTTTCTCGCATTTTTAAGGATTTAGAAAGAGGCATATTTCGTCATATCAACACTCTTTTTTGGAATTTTGCGTTGCATGAAAACATGAAGCTCACATTTGCTTTTAACTTTCATACTCGTAAACCGTTATAAAATGAATTTAGTGTTTTTCAAAAATCTAACTTAGCATTTTTCGATTAAACAAAAAAAAATGTCTTAATGCGAGTTTAAATTGATTAAAATTTATTTATGCTTTTTATGTTTAGCATGGTAAAATAACTGGGAGTCAAATTAACTTTTTTTTATTACTAAAAGCAAATAGGGTTATTGACAATTAGCAACCCAACACTTATTTTTTAATGATGGGTATGACCGTCTTGCCCTAATATGAATGAACACATTTCATTTGTTTAACCGTAGGTAAGCATATAAAAGATTAGCACTCTTGACTAATTTAGACTCATACTAAAACATATTGAATTATCTTCCGAACGCGGGACGATTTCTATGCACTCAAGTTTATTTATTCCCTTTGCCCGTTGCCCTTTTTAATGTCGTTTTTATGTTTCGCACTGCAGATGGCAAACCTGTGCTGGTGGTATTACATCTCGAAGCTGACCGAGTTCTTGGACACGCTTTTTTTCGTGTTGCGCAAAAAGGACAGCCAGGTGACCTTCCTGCATCTGTACCACCACAGCCTCACGCCGCTGGAGACGTGGATTCTTGTGAAATTCATCGCCGGTAAGCGAGAGAGGGAAAACCGTGACGATTTTCACTTTCCGTGCATGTGCCAATTGAAAAAACGCGCAAAAATAGCAAACACATCATTCGCCACTTTGGTCGGTTTTTCTATATGAATTTTTGAAGCTAAAACTTCCAATCGTATAATAAAAAATTCAATTTCGAATAACTTTTTTGAAATATTATTAATTTAGTTTCATTTATTACTTTCGATGTTTCCAATTCTGATAAAAAAAAAATCTTTTATGATTTTTTTAAATAAAACTGCACCACTGGATTTGCGACCGTTGTAAGTAGAAACGTTAAAAAAAATGTTCACTTACACCGAAGTTATTAGTTATAGTTATATTTATAAGTAATTATTAATTTTGAAACCGGATCATCAAAATTTATTTGTGAAAAATTCGAAAGCTTATTCTGTCCTATGGCTAGACAAAATACGGCGTGATTGACTTATTTTTAGCATCGATATGAAGACAAGATATGAAAAAATATCAAACAGTGAAATAGGTATATGGTTTGTCCCATTTTTTATGGTTTTATTTTGTCAGTTTTGCATTATTTGCGCAGGGTTTTTTCTGTAGGATCCAGTGGAGTGGTCAATGTTATTTTGTAGCTCATAAATTTTGGTATATATATTTTTATGGAAAACCGTGTTTTTATTTTAGTATTTTTGTTAGGTCTGTTAGTAGTTTTGGTTAGTTAGCAGTGGATTTGAATCGATGGCTCTATATTTATAATAATTTTTGAAAACGGGTGTCATGTGATGCCACCGCCTAGAATTAATGTGCATGCGCAAAATAAGAAGAATCGTCACTAATCAAAAGTTAAATTTTATATGCTTTGGTTAAACCTTAAAGCCTGCTTTCTGCTTTTAGTAAGTTGCCATTAGTTATTACTGTATGGTTCAAAAACGTTTATATTTGAATATTTATTTCTTCAATATTGTTTAAAAGAATATTTTTGAATTTCAAAAGAAATAAGTATGACTTCCAAGACGAATCCACACTTGGATTGCAAAAGTTTTACCTGTTAAAATAAACTTGTGTGTGTACAATATTAAATTTGCGCTGATAATAGACCCCTATTATATCCATTTTCCCATTTTGAGTTAACCTTAGCCCTAAGGGGCAGTTATTAAAATATTAATCACCAAAATATCACGACTGTTTGACTAAAGTATATTGTAGAAGCTGGCACCTTTTTTTCATGGTCTACTCAAAAAAATGTCAACTCAAAGATGTATTTTTCGTATATGTTATATATTTTTGAAAAGCTTATAGCAAGCCTAAAAAAAATATTGAAATACATACAATGTTTTCCATTTAGTTCATATATTTTTGAGTGTCAGAAGAAACCAGTTTTTATTTATTTTATAAGTGGACCCATAACTGAACTATAAAAGGGTGTTTAAATATCCAACATTAGCCAAAAGTAGCGTTATATCACAAAAGCGGCAGCAAGCTAGCTTCATCAATAAGTTATAATAATATTAGTTTCTTTTAAATACATTACAAGAACATATCACAATAGGCGAACTTGAAATTATACTTTCTCACTTAACCTACGATTTAGGAATACTAATTATTATTCAATTAATCATAATGGCTAATGTGCAGCAGAGACACCGCTAAAATTCAAGATTGTTATCTAATTAGTATACTAAATTCGCAGTAAATGATATTTCGAGATTAGAACAAAAACGAATTTTGGCAAACAATCTTCCAGTTTTTTTTATATATGTGAGTTAAATTTTATAAAATATGCAATGTATACTATACTATTTTTCAGTTCTTAGATCTCCTATATTATTGCTTTTGAATTTTTTTTAGTTGATCACGCCACTGAATATTAAAATCGCTTTATATATTCTATATGAACTCTCCGATTGGATTTTTTCATTGTTATTTTCATTGTTTTAATCAACAAAGGATATTAGGATCCCCATCCTAATATCCACAGACACAGCTTATATAGGGTGTTTCATGGATGATGGTACCTTAGACGTTTGTTCTAAAAATTTGGTTAGTTCCATATCTATCTAAAGTATGTTTAACACGGGCCTTCGAAAAAGTTACATTAACATTGAAATTTTAAATGTGTATTACTGGATTTTCTGATTCCCTAATGCTTTATGATTGTTTTTGAATAGCACGTTCCTATACCTATATTTTTAGTGATTTTCGAGAAATTAAAACATAGCATCAATTTTTTCATTTTTATTACTACACTGGGGTCAGTAGATAGTTAAAATTTTGGATGTAGCTTAGGAATATCGAAATTACTTCTACATCATATTGAGTCGGTCAAAACTCTCGATTTGTACATTTCTAACACCCTGTATATTATCACATATTCTAAGAGCACTCCTACACCTCATCCGTTTGGTTTCTGAAATACAAACAAGTTTCTTTGAAAACTGCATTACTTTGGCATTTATCTTTTTTCGGTCTTATAATAAATAATTCATTTTCCGTTTGACAGTTCAATAAATGGTAGTAGTTTTATTTATCTCCGACGGCTCTATTTGTGCACAACATGGTACAATCCGATGATGTAACTATTGCTTGCTTTACACCGGTGTCAAATAGACAAGAGAGAAGAGAGAATGAAACTAATTTCCAAAATTTGAACTTTCTGATATTTCCAGCGCCGTAGTAATAAAATTTCCATCGAATCTATGTTTTTGTCGGAAAAATGAAGAAAATAATGATTATCTTGTAAACTGCTGAAGATAGGAAAAGGAACGCATTGTTCAAAAACAGTCATCGCCGCTTATGGAACTTACCGACGTCTAAGGTACCATCAACCGTCAAACACCTCGTATATTACTGATTTCTTCAATTTCTCGTTAAGATTCTAGATACATACTTAAGCCTTGTCGTTTTTGAGTTTAATATTTTATGTCCATAATGTAGCTTTTACATCCTTAAAGTTCTGTGTGGAAAACTGGATTTTATTATTTTACCAATCATAACAACGTAACATAAATTCTAATTTCTTATTCGCAGGGCTCTCAGTTATGTTTAGTTACGGTTGAAATTCGATTGTGTAACAGCAGTAAAAAAAAGCTAACATTGGCTTGTTTTCCAATGAAAAAAACACGAAGGGTTTTGGAAGAATAATTTTTTAACATAGAAAAATGCTAATAGTTTAGTTTATTGGTATTTGGTACTTATATAATTTCAAAAAAATTAGCTCTACTGAAGCGACATAATTTTTGATAGCACTCCGTATTTAACACGCTATAATTTTTGATCGCACCTCGTACTTGCAATGTGCAAATATTAGGTGCGGTTTGAGAACCGCAAAACTTAAAATGTCCGCCCGTTTCAATAGGTTTTAAGTTATACTTTCGGCCGGAACTTATCTCCATTAACCTTTAACTAAATAATTAACGTGATACGAAACGTTCACTAAAAGAAAGACCTTCTTGAGAAGCCGCGCGTTCGTAGAAATCGCAGGCACTTTTACCAAAATCATCGGCCGCCTTGACACAAAATCTCAACGGAACAGAAGTTTACAAATTCATTACGATTTTAAAATCGTTAACTTGGTATCGATTCCGTTGAGACTCGTTTAAAGGCCACCGAAATAACGCGAATATAATTTTACGACAACTGTCAAAGCACCGTAGGCGTCTTATTGCGTTAATCGTCGTGATTTTCGATTTTTGATACAGCGATAAAGATTTGTTCGTTTTTCCGTACATGTCGAAACGTCGATTTACTAATTTAGCTAATTAATAATAGCCGATTCAGACGTGGTGATTCTAATTTGCTCCTTCCATTTTGGATTGACTACAATCCTGAGCGAATGCTCTTAACATAGAGAAAACAATACACGCATATTTATGATATAACCTAAAAATAATACCTGTTCTATAAGTAACTTTGTGCAGAGTCGGTTGTGGGAAAACAAAAAGCAATCGTTATATTCGGTGAAACCGTGTTAAAAATCTTAAAACAAATTTGCTGTTTCATGACAGGGGCCTGTTGCATATACGGCAGCTGTATTGTTGACCGTATTAAAAGATACAAGGTAAAATTCCATTACATTATAATTATCATATGTACAATTCCAGAAATAGTACTGCTACGCAAAAAACACACAGACAACGTTCTTATAAATATTATGCACCCAAACTCTACAGCATGCTACCAGCATATACAGGGTGATGCGTTTTCCATTTTTTCTTTTCCAATTTAAACTAAATAACTATTAAAAACAAATACCTATTACATGTCTATGTCCATGTACATATATAATATGTACTCTAAACACATAACAAAGATAAAAAATGATTGGATTTGAATTATAGGAAACGAAATCCTATTTATAGGAAAAAAATCTAAAAAATGGCAATTTTGTTTTAGTTTGAAACTCGATTATTCTTATTTAATTCGTCACTCTCTTTCTCTTTCTCTCCCTCTTTGTTATTTACCTTGTGCGCTTGTGCTTGGCCACTAAAATAATTTCACGGAATCCACATCAAATTCGCACCTATTTTCTTTATCCCAATTCTGAGCTGTTAACTGTTTGCTAGGTCAGGATTCCAAATTTACATTCCAAAAACTAATAAACAAATATTAAATAAAATAATCAAATTCTAGGTGCTTCTTTCGTCTCCCCCATGTATCACGAAATATGAGTCTTAAAAGTGAGAATAAAGCACAGGAAAAATTTGGGCGGAAAAAATGTTCAAAGAAGCCACAGAAAATGCTGTAGGCTCATTCTTTCATCGCAAGTAATTTCAGATGAAACTTTTGCTTCCCAAATACATGTCATGGCAATTGAGAATTTGTTTAAGAAAAATTATTTACATATGTAAACTAAATTAGCCCTGAATGTAAGAGAATTGTTCAGAAATTTGTTTTAGAGAATTCATAAATTAATATAATTTCCTTCTTTCTAGTATTAGAATTTCCCAATACACCCACAAATTATTATATGTACGGCAAAAACCTTTTCCATAAAGTTGAGCTTTTTATCACTAACAAAACTGAAAAGTATCAACATTTATAAAACAACCTTTAAAAACAAAATTCCACCAAAATAATCAAACTCATCAAACAGCAATTTTTATCTTTTAAAAATACATGTAGGAATTGTATTATGTGTACCGGACTTAAAAGTTTAATTTTTCAATACGTCAGTCTTATTTCCCCATAGAAAGACGAGTTTGCCGGTTTTTGGTTTTTGAAAAAAAAACAACCCCTAATTATTTTGTTTGTTTTCGTTGAAAAACACTGTATAACACTGCTTTTTAAAATTTAATTGAAGGATTTTGCTTTGATGTTTATTACCTACTCAATAATTAAATTATCTAATCACCTTCTTTATCTAGGTATTTAGGGGTTCAACATCACGGCGAGATTGATAGAACCACAGTCAATTGACAAAGTTAGGTTAGTCGAATATCACAGACGACTTACCTAACAATGCACAGAACATATGACAAAATCATTCATTATTTTTGGAATTATCTTGATGGACTTAAGGAAAAAACCGGACTGGGTTTTTCCTGACCGATCCCGCGGTTTGGAAGAAATAAATATTTACCCTTTTAATTTTTAGTCATTTCGATTGTATTTACATTTTTAATCATTTTGCTAGTTTTATCTGTCAAATTTATTGCGATGCAGTAGTAGACACGTTGTAATATTTGCCTCGTGTTTATCGTACTTTAGTTGAAGCCGTTTAGCTAGTATTCCGACCGGTTGCACCATTAAAACAGCTGATCGCAGGTGCATGGTATAACGCAATCCGTTTATTTTGATACGGTCCGCATGATGCAGTTTATACGTGCAAGAAGGCTGGGTCTTGCCATTTGCGCGTTTTGCAGTAAGAGGCGGTTCTGTTACAAAACTCGTTAGAAAGTTTTCGGGCTCGGACCTAAATTATTATTCGCTGAGATCGGCGCAATAATATTGCGCCTTATTATTCAAACGCGGGCGAGATTTGCAAATTTGCCAATAATAGGCGCGACGCCTCAAAGGACGGACGGCCGCTTATAAATAAAATGACGTTTCAATGATAAAACTTGATGCGTCTCAGGTGACTTTGATATTTTCGTAGATCGTTTCGTTGGTCTTGCGCCCATGTCTCAAAATTGATACAACAACAGGGATCTTGGTCGTTGAATGCTATCGACGGTCTACGTTTCAATTGAAGACCATAACGCAAAAATGTGTTAACTCACTTTTTTAAAAATTTTAGATTTTTTTTGCAAAATGGTGTCAACTTCGTTTTCTATTTGTTAGTAAATCATTCGAGTCATAGGTGGCGCCCAATTCTCGTAGACGGGTAACCTTAAAAGTGTTATCTCTACCAAACAAATAATTTCATCTTGTAAAAACATTTTACTTACTGCAAATATGGCTCTATAATCTAGGAGTTCATTCAGTTTCAACACAGCAAAAGAACGGTAAAGGGTGTTTTCATATTTGGATCGAAGATGAAGGATCTCCGGGACCTGAGGAAATGAATGGGTAGTTCAACATTAGCATTTCTCGAAAATACTAAAGAAGCAAATAAAAGTTTTGATCACCTAATAGCATGGAGGACTCTGCAGGAGGTCAGAACAAAAACCTTTTCATTGTGTGTTTATGGCATTATTTGATAAAATCTGGCAGATTTAAAAAAATTGGTCATAAGTTTCCCGAAGTGGGACATACTTTTATGGAGAAATTTTGCTACTGTAGAAAAGGCAATTAGGAAACATCAAATACTGTTGATCAAGACGACTGAAGCCAGAAGAACGACGCCCTTTAACATAACAAGGATAGCCGATAAGTTTACTGATTTTAAGGAATTGTCACGAAAACTAGGAATTATAGATCGCAAAAAAAAATGAAGGGATTCCTTTCATCCCAGAAAACCTCAGAGGTTTCTTTTATAATTTGAAATGACGAGAACATGAAATTTATGTTTTCTTTGTTAAAAAGGGGCATTGAATTCAAAAATGTTGCTAAATAAATAGTTTTTGTACGGATAACGCTCTTTTCATTTACATATGATCATGGCTCTTTATAAATAATAATTCTGAAAAAGGTGTTAACTCATTTTTTTACTTCTTTTTACTAATTTTTTTGACATTACAAATATGTTTCTTCCAAAGTTGACCTTCTACAAGATTTTTCAACGTATCTTTATACATTATAACATCTACAAATATTTATAATTAAGTCACATGAAAAGTTCCATTCAATAAACTTTAGCTCAATTTATTTCAAAACTAAAAAAAGTGAGTTAACACCTTTTTGCCCCTAAAGACCTGGAACTGGGAACCAGTATGATGGAACAAAAGAGAAAAAACTCTACTTGAATTTGCACAACCGTGATATCCAAACACTTAACTCTGTTTTGAATGAATATTTAATGGATCTGGCCATCTACGCAAAATGCTCACACTGTGCTGCCAACGTGATTGAAGTGTGAACTATATTTTACCGCCAAAATATGAATTTGCGGGAATTCCCACTGGCGTAGTAGAAAACACATTTCGTTAATAAGTTTTACTTATTAGATGCAATGAAATAACTACCATTTTCAACAGTTATATGATTTAAGAAATTTTTGCTTTTGGATGCGGTGGTTTCCTTCTGGACAAGGGTCAAGAACAAGAGATTAGTGCTTACAGTCATTTATATAAAAACTGAAATCGTGTTCTAAAGCATATTTGACGTGTTTTACAAATACTGAATGGATTAGTAGTGGTATAATTATTGAAAAGCAATATAAAATGTAAAATAATTAATATTAATTTTGAGAAAAGATTGAGATTACCTCACAACTAGTATTATATATTATAATAGAATATAAATATTTGTCTTTTGGGTTCTTAATTTTAAACTTTGAGATTATTAAAGTTATACCAATTATATTTCATTTTAGAATAATGATTTTGCCATAATTTTCGTAATCTTTTCGTTCACACAAAATCTGAAATTCCTACACAACAACTGATTAAAATAAATGTATTTCATTTTATTCATTTTACGAGTGAATTACAATGGCTTTTACTACAATGTTGTTACAGTAACATATTTCATGTAGGGCTGTCGCTAAATTTCAAAAAGCTTCTAGAGACCTCCAATGTAAGATTGAATAATTTTATATACTCAATTTTCGTAAAAACAAGGATGAAATCTTCACAACAATTTTATCCCCAAAGAAGCTGACTAATGCATCGAAGAATTCTATCTGTATAATGAAATACTGTATTATGATTTTTTTAAATAAACATCGGTACGAAAATTTTTCTTCAAACAAACATATTTCGAACACAGTAATATTACAAAAAATGCAATTACATTCATATAGAATGAACTGTGCCAGAGTAGAATATATTTACATCTCATAGAAATTGAATATTCTAAACATTTTAACTAACTTATTGTCATTTTTACACGCAGAAAACACAACATTCCGAAACATCATCAATAGTTAATATTCAAAATGAAATGGTGACGTTTGACGGTTATAATTTTAATTTGTTGAAAATAAACATTTCTTAGGCGGCCATGGAACGTTCTCCAATCTGATCAACAACTTCGTCCACGTCATGATGTATTTCTATTACATGGTGTCGGCAATGGGACCGGAGTACCAGAAGTACATTTGGTGGAAGAAGCACCTGACGACCATTCAGTTGGTGAGTACCAAAAATTAAAGTGTAGATTATTTTAACTTTTGTTGTAACTTTTTTTTTACTTGCGAACGACTTAAGTGATAGGCGAGACATAGAAAAATCATTAAATTTAATAGAATGCTATAAGAACCATTAAAAAATACATTTCACACCTGAGAGTGCTTAATTTAAACAAATTTTTTAAGGTTAGTTTGCAATTGAATTTCATACATAAACAATGAAGAGTCGTATTAAATTTTTATCTTTCATTCAATAAAAGTTAAATTAATTTTTCAGCTTCAGTTCGCAGCAGTGTTCGTCCATTCAGCACAGTTGCTGTGGGTCGACTGTGGGTACCCGAGGTTCATCGGGGGTCTTCTCCTTCTCCACTCTACGATATTTTTCGGCCTCTTTTCTAATTATTATTACCAGACGTATAAGAGGGCCGAGAAACAAAAAACCGTCAAACGTGAATAACAACGAACTTGTAGATAGTACCTGTAGGCTCGTTATAAATAGGGGTGTACTTTTTTGTAAATATATTATATTAGAGTTAATCCTAACCGATAAGACGGTTGCAAATTTTATTTAAATCAATCCGAAAGTGACGTAGCAGAGAAATATACAGGGTAGTGCTCAAAAATCACGTCAATAATACTTTTTGGCATGTTTTTTTTCTTCGAAATATTTGCGGTGAGTCTTGCATCGTTTCGACTGTGATCGCCCGTGTTTAAATAAAATTTGAACCATATTTATATACGACAAATATATTAAATATTATTTTTAAATTCCACTCGATTTCCCCACGAGGTTTTTGATGAAAAACACTACAATTTCTATTTTTACGCTATGAAAAATTAGTACAAAATTTACGTGCCTTATTCATATTAAAGCCAAAGAATTTCAAAATAATATTTCAACGTATTTTGAAAAAAATAAGTCTGGTATAATGCGTTATTTATTCTGACAATGCTTTGTGTAGCAAAACGAGGTGAATATTACAAATTGGCTAACTTTGTGTAGGTAACAGACAAGTCACAGTAATGGTATTTGACAGTGGCTCTATCTATGGACGAGTGGTTGTAGTTCCAATAGTTCAGAGATGGCGTTGACTGGTATTTCAAAAATTCTTTAGCAAAAATGAACAAAACTTAACTTTTTTTATAGGAAGGTTATATATGTAGTGATTTTGGAATATTCTCCTCCTTAATAAGATCTTGAATTTTTAGGTGATTCTGTCTTTTATACATTAAATACACCTTCAATACCTCAACTGTTCTACCCTTTTTTATTGATTGTTCAGATAACGTATAGGTTAGAGTTAGGGAGGTATAGAAATTTACTAAAGTTTGAGTTACATGTAATGAGAACCTAGTCATAGTCAAGTGTAAGCATTCCATTGATTAAACGCTTGCCTCTATTTGAATTTGCATTTGTTTGTAACTTTCTATTTTAAATAGATTGATAAATTATAAATCCTAAAGTGGAAATTATATAAATTTTAGCTCAACTTTTTGTACTTAAATATGGATATGCCGTCAAATAAACTATTTAAATGACTGCGTACGGACCATCTGTTCCCTTCCATGTAATTTCCCTGGAACCGTGTTGTGTTTTTTCCAAAATAGTACCTTTGGCTAATTCTGTTCTGTACGGCGGACGTCGGTAATGGGCGAGTGCCCTTTGCTAATATACCCAGCGTTATAAAAGACAAAGTGGATTAAGTGGAACTTTTCGCGGTTATTTTCAATGTTTTCTGTTTTTTCGATTTCGTGGCGTTAGTTTTCGACCCACGCAATCCACATAAATTCATAATAACAAAATTCCTTGTGGGCAAGACTTTTTAAACGTTTGTGCTTTGTGAAATCCTAGTTTAGCAGGCAAGTGATGCTGTTGTGTAAGCTGATTTTAATCCGAGTTTTCGATATAAAAAAAATGGAATAACAAATGAACATCTTGCAAAATTATTTTATTCAAATAATACAAATAATTTAAAAATTATCTTATAAATATTCATTCAGTTCTGGAGTATCCTCTTTAACCTTGTGGGTTTTTCTATGAACCGTTAGCTGTCCTGATTGGGCATACCTATAAGACAAACAAATATTTTAAGTCAATCGCAAATGCCATTTTATACCTTTTGCCACATATGGTACATTCATATGGCTTCTCCCCAGTATGAATCCTAAAGTGCCTCTTCAATGTTTGAGACTCTGTAAAAGCCTTGCTGCACACTTCGCAAATGTGTTCCTTCACACCCAGATGGGTCCGACGATGTGCTGCCAAGTTGCTGGATGTCGGAAATCTTTTAGGACACTGATCACAAGCATATGGTTTTTCACCTAGAAACATAATGTTTAAAATTAACAGTATGTGGGTTAGAAATGAACCTAACCTGTGTGAAATCTCATATGAATGATTAAATCTGGCAATCTTGCAGCCCCTTTGCCACACAAATTGCATATATATTTTTTCTCATCAGAATGGGTGCTGCTGTGAGCTTTAAGAGCACATTTGCTAATAAAATTCTAAAACATTGACGGTTTGTTGAAAATTAATTGCTAAAAGTTTCGTAGCTTTACCTTTGAACAGACTTCACACTTGTAAGGCCTTTCCATAGTGTGAGTCCTTTTGTGGATGATAAGAAAGGATGAGGTGCTATATGTGGCATCACATATATCACATTTATAGGGCTTCTCTCCTGTGTGTGTCCTCAAATGTCCCTTAAGGACAAACCCATGCACAAAACTCTTCCCTAAAATTTGTATTCTCCAACCATATATCAGTAGAATTAACGTTTGGTCTCACCACATGTTTTGCACAAGTGTTTATTTTTGGTATCGTGAAGGACATGGTGCTTTTTCAGTGTGGATATTACGGAGAACTTTTTGTCACAGAATGCACATGAAAATGGCTTGTATCCAGGATGTTGTTTCAAATGTTTCTCATAAACTTTCAGAGCTAGAAATTTAGAAATAGCACTGACCAAAGGAATAAAAGGAAATTTTTAAAAACTCACAGCGAAATGAGGCTTTACATGGTTCACACTCCATCAATTTTCCATGTTTAACATTGTGCGCTTTTAGACCACAATCATATTTAAATGTTTTAGGACATTCTGTACATTTATGGAGTTTTAGTTCCTTTGTTTCATCACCTGTTTCTTTTTTAAAATTGAATTCTTCAACTTGCTCTGCCGTTTCATCAAAAGCACTCTCTTGAGTCTCCTTAGATTTCCACTGCATTTCATCAGAATCAATTGATTCATATTCATTCGTGTTTTGGGGATTCTCTGATTCCTACAAATAGCACAAAGTATTGCCTAGACTAGAAAACAATAGGGCACAAAATGAACAGAATTATGTACCTACGGTATCAGAAACGTCTTTATCAAATTTCAATGGTCCTTCATTCCCTGCTTGCGATACATGGAAAATTGTTTTCAACTGAATTTCCGCATTCACAATTTTATGTTTAAACCTTATGGCGGCTTTCAGATGAGATAAACAAGTGCTGCAGACGTTTGTGGGTAAGTTGGGACTCTTGTTAAGCTAAAAGAGAGCTCATAAATATGACTTCTTTGGGCTATGCTGCCACTTCACCTGTATATTGGCAATATCCGAAAGTTGCTGATCCAAGCAATTTTCATATATGGAGCGCAACCTTTTGACCGGTTTCTCCTGTATACAGATTCGGCACACTTTGGTGGAATCTTCGAATGTCTTCATTTTGTTTGCTTAATTAGAACATTATTTTTGTTTGGGAAAGAATACAGTAAAAAGAAGAGAATCCATTGTATAAGAGAGAGATTAAACTATTTGCTATCGGCTGGGCACATGTACTGTGGTCATGGGCCCATTTTCCGGCATTCGCGGAGGATTTTTTTTGGTCACAGACCAACACGTAAAAAAACTATAATCAACAATTGTTCTCAGCTTGCAAAGAAAAACTTTGACCGATAACCAAAAACGACTACCCCCGCTTCAATCGCGAACCATCCGGGTCCATCCGGCCTTTCACCATTGTATAAAGAAATGTTCAAGGCGCAGATGTAAAATTAGTATTTCTAACCAATGTATTCTGGGAAAATGAACTGAAATTTGCTGAACATTTTGGGTTTTTTGGGGAAACATTCTTAATACAAATGTTTGGATTCTTGGAAGCAAGATTTTTTTTCTGCTCGGCGTATAAGAAAATTCGGCGTCAAGCTAAACCCTGCTCTTACTCTTAATAGTGGAGTGGAGTTTTCTTTATCTTCACGGATAGTATTTCTTGCCAGTTCAGTATAGCTACGAATTAAGCGGCAGGTAATAAATAACACCAGAAATATGACAATTTATTCAAGAACAGTCTTGTTATAAACAAAAAGTTATTGATCGGCAATTATTGACTAGAATTAGATTTTAGCGGTACACTGACAAAAATATACAGCGAGCTGACCGAGAAAATGTCTTAGAACATTTCATTGTGTATACAATTAATTATTGTCTATTAAATTTACTTATACATTGGCAAATAACACCAAACCAACTGTTGTACATGTCAACAGTAGTTATCACAAAGAAATAGGATTTTTTAAAATATAATTGACTATGGGCTTAGGTTTAATTCAATTTTTTGAACTCAAGTTTGGTTAAAACTGGGCATTTTCAGTTCATCTCTGGATAATGTATAATGAAGTTTTTATTTATGTTACCCATTAGTGACAAAAACAAAAATAAAATAGGTTATGTCTGAGTATTAGGAATCCTGCCAATAGGCATTCATTGGCTGCTATGGACTGATGACGCTCAGTTTGGCGGGAAATTTTAAATTTGTAACAAGTTATAGGCATTGAGAGGTTTTGTTTGTTGGGGAATTTAAATTTAAATTGCTTGAAAATTTCCAATTTTGACTTTTCTATTGATATGTTTAAAAATTCAATTTTTAGAATGCGTAGAATGCGTCGTAGCCCTACATAAAAATATTTTTTCGGTAACTTTGACTTGCTTAGAGTAATTTACGTAATTTTCGAGTTTCCCGGGTTTCAAAATTTATATTCGGGGGGTTAGCATATTTTTTGAAAAATTATATAAGCGTACATTTATATTTTTGAGATGCAAATATTTTTACGTCGCCTTTGGCAGTGGCCTTTCGTTATATATATCGTTTTAAAATTTCAAACGTTTCAAAACAGCATTTTCCTATTCTCTATAACGTCGTGTGTTTATCCTATCCTAAATATCACCCTGTATGTAACTGTTTTGAAATACATTTATTTCTAGATCTGTTTTATAATATCTACATTAAATGTTACGTGCTTATTATCAGGATAATATGTGTTTTTGTCTTTTTCGTTGAATTAATACTTCGTTACTTTGCTTCTAGATGGGGCCCCTATCGTATCATACGTATATTTCATCCCCTGGCAGTTTAAGTCCGTCGATTATGATTTGCGGGGTCGCTCTTACGTAAATATTCCTAGATCTAGCCCTAGCTTCCGTAGTTTCCTCCTCCGACTTTACTTCTTTCACTTCTTTGAGGCTGTTCGGGTATCTGAAACATAGGTTTTTATATGTAAATATAAAAATTTACAAAATACAAGCAACACCGACTTAGTATTAGTAGGAGATTTTAATTTATCTTGTTTCACTTGATCAAGAGACCTAAACTGCAATGATTTTTTGCCTAGCACTTTGCTTAGAATTTAATTATTTGGGGTTTTGTTAGTTAAGGCACTAAACAATATTTATGTGTTAATGTATGTATTTATGTTTAAATAAAATTACAAATTATTTTTATTACCTACTTAAATTACATAAAATTATTCACATAATATATCAGTATCACTATCGCCATCATCGCCTGTTCTATTTATTACTTGTTCTATATTATTTGCAATACGGATATACGATTGTTCTGCTTTTTCTATATGTTTAACAGAATTTGTCCAACTTTGTGGAGGGATGTTAAAAACTTCGGTTTCTATAAGTTTGAGGATATTGGAGTTAATACGGGGAAAAACATTGTTACGACGAATGTCAGATTTCAGTTGGTGCCAAACATGTTCAATGGGATTAAATATACACTGGTAAGGTGGAAGCCTTAAAAGTGTATGCCCTAATTTTTTTTTGCATAATTATCACAGACGTATTCCTTTTGTAGGTTGAAGCTTTGTAGAACCTCAATTAATTGTTTTTTGGTATAATCTTCATGAAAATAAATGTCTTTATTATACATGTAGTTTTAGACTGTTGGTTTTGTGTCACATGAGGAAGGGGTTTTAGTCAACTGTCTACTCTGATACCTTGCATTGTCCATTACAATTACGTTATTAGGAGGAATGTTTGGAACTGGTTTGTTTTCAAACCCACTTTCAAATAAATCAGCGGTGGTGTCTTCATGGTAATCCAGAGAAGAATCTCTAATATTTTTCGCAGACAGAGAAAGTTCATTTGGAATCCAACCATATTTAGAGCCAGCATGCAAAATAGTTATTCTTTTACCTCTTTTTGATGGCGCGTTTGTTTTACACTTATCAGTTGAGTCAACCCAACCCTTTTTCGGGGTATCATAAGTGTCGAACCAGGTTTCATCCAAGTAAATATATTTGGCCTTTGTTTTTCTCTGTAAGTATAAATTGGCCTTTGTTGTTCTCTGTAAATCCAAATTTTTTCTCAATATTCCAGTCGCCATTTCCGAATTCTAAAAGATTCCATTAAAACTTGCCTTTTGCCAATTTTTTTAAATCTAAGACGCAATGTGTTGAATACACTTCCATAAGGTAGTTCTGCCACATTTAACACCGGTTTTATCTTTTTCAAGCCTCCTAATTAAGATATCTAATGTAGGCACGCTTGGTTCCTCGTATAACTGGTAAATTTTACGCCGTATTATATCTTGATCACTTTCATCTACACTCGAGAAAATGTCAGCATCGCTTTTTTTTTCCTCGTTGAAATGGGATCATTCACAATTTTCCATACAGTTGATGTTGGAATTTTCGTCAATGTGGCCGTTTCTTCTAAAGATTCTTGCTTGCTGGCACCACTTTCAATGAGAGTCAAATAGACATTGTTTATAACTTCCTTAGTCTCAAAAGAATAGTGTTTTCTACATATGGGCGGGAGCATCTCCCGAGATATATTAGACTCGCACATATTTTGCATAATTCGCACACGATTCAACACACGCTGTATTACACACGAAATAAGAATGATTACTGACAAACTTAAACTAAGTAGTATACCAAACCAAAGAATATTAAACACAGGTAGGTATAAAATTATTTTCTATTACGGACCACAATTTTACCTGAATTTAAAGTCCGAAACTTTAGGTAATAATTTTGTTGCATTGTTTGTTAATGACCACCCTTGGATAATCGCATTCAAAAGCAATTGGTCACTTTCTTATATCTATGAACAGACCCTACCCGCACTTATAACACGGTAGAGAACACGTTTCCGGATCTTGATCTATTTGCTTTGATGCCTTTAAACGGCACTTAAGACGGTCTACCAATCAAAATACTGTAATAAAAAGCTGTAATTAGTTCTTAATTTGATTTAGCTAGTAAAACTAATTTAAACTAGTCCACTGACAAAGTATCTCTTTTTTATACTTTTTTATAAATAAATAACTCAATTGTCATTTTCTTGCCCTTTGTTGTGAAATAAATAAGAAATAAATAGTTTAATCCTTCTATGTTTGGTTTTCGCTTTTTCATTTTTTATTTAGCCATTTCTCCTTTGAATATAAAAAAAAAATGTTCTTGCCATTTTACATTTAGGCTCAGAATAACATAAAACCTAAGCTCAGATCTTTCTAGTCACCTCGTTGATTGAGTCCGGCTGTTCCTCAAGCAGCTCTCCGACGTAGGTTGCGACGAGGGCGTCGTCGAGCTCGTGGTGCTCTTCCTCGTGGTCTCCGTCCTCCTCCTCAGTTTCCGCCTCAAATTCCTCATACCGCACAGTTTGAGAAATCCTCCCCTAAACTTGGAGCTCATTATGTTGTACAGGATGGGGTTGACCGCCGAATTGATGTGGAACATGATCCTGGAGAAGTACAGTATGTTGTATCTGGTCTCGAAGCTGATGTCCACTATCGATTCTGCAGGCGCCACGACTATCCACAAGGTCAAGGCTCGGAAAGGAAGCATGCAGATGAAGAAGGCCACGACGACCACCGCAAGCATCATCATCACTTGCTTTCGGTATTTGATCACGCTCTGAGACGGTACCGTTACACTTTTCTGAGAGGGAATAAGGTTGGATGGGTGAGTCATAAGTGTACGGGCGACCAGGGCGTATATACAGATGAGGATACCCAGGGGGAAGATAAAGAAAATGACTATGGAACCGATGAAGAACATACAAGGGAAGAGATCGATGGACATGCTGAAACAGGCGAACACTAGTGAGCCGTCGTAGTAGCGTTCTGGTCCGTAATACTGGGTTATGGCTAGAATGGGGCTGCAATCAAAAAACAAGTAAGGATCAGTGACCCGATGGGCGTAATGGAGGAGATGGCGATTTATTAATAAAATAGAACAGCAGCAATAGACTTTTCTACCTCAATTTTAAGAGTTGTAAAAAATGTATATTTTTTGTAATCTGTTTATAACTAATCAAATGTCAGCAAGGAACGCGCCGTATGAGAAAACATACTTTTTATGTGGAACATTTTTGTAATGTAATGTAATGTGTCTTGTAATCGTTATCTTTTTAAAGCCCGGTAGACATGATGCAATTTCTGTTACTAATTTCTAGGTATTTTTTCATGTTGATATTGTAACGTGTAAAGGAACTCGAACATCAGCGCGTCTGTTTTCATGGTGGCTATTACTAAATTTACTATAAAGAAAACCATTTAGTTGCGTTTTTTTTTTTAATTTATGGGTTACTATAAAAAACAAGCAGGAAAAATCTATGTGGTTTTTGAAAAGTCTAGTGATTGTTGAAGAAAGTAGTAGACTAGTTTCGTCTCCCAAATATTACAAAAAATAGCAAAATTACAAACTATTGCATAACAAGCCAATTTACAATTTGTTAAAAAAAGCTGTAATTTGAATGTAACCTAAATTAAATGTACGAGAATATAAAAATTAATGTAATTACTATATTGAATTGTTTTCAGCAAATACCTCCATTTCTCTTGCTTTTACTTTTGTTTAGCCACTTAGTTAAAACGTCCGAACATTGAAAACTTATGTTTGTATTAAAGTGTCCAAAGATTAAAAAAAAAAACAATCTTGCAAAATTGCATCGTGTCTACCATCAAAAAATTACCAGTTAAAATTGTTTATCTGTGTGGAAATAGTGCCTGCTCGACTTCTGATTCTGATTTTATGTTTATGTTTACTACTTATCCAACATAACCTAACCATCTAACCTATAGAATAACTAAGGTATTGTTCATGCCAATATCATTGTTCTATGATGGCGAAGAAAAGGTTCTTGGAGGAAATCTAAGAAGCCGTTAAATGTTTGACCGTGATCCAATGTTGTTAGTTTTCTAGAATTTAAGTAGTTATTATAAGGAGAGCATAACATGACCCCATTTTCAAAAATTGACCGATTTTTAAGAATGAGCGGCTAATATAATGATGCATTTCAATTGTGTATAAATAAGCAGCACGTATTTGATTAGATATCAAAAATTATATGATCTTCCATTATGATGCTCCATATTAGTACTTAGAATAAAATAGTTTCGACCATTATGGACATTACCAGATTTAACTATTAACTTCCTTATTCGACCTTTTATTATGATATTTGGTAGTCTTTTCATTGTGTTTTTTTTTTGCTGGTACCCGAATTTCGTTTAATTCTATGGAAATGTTGCCCTATTTTACCTCACAAATCTTACTTAATGCGACAATAGAATTCAGGGCCTGGACAATTTGTTCTCTGTCTGACGTGTCTCGATTTCATATGTCTATCTGAAATGCAGCTGCTGTTATTTGTGTGTTATGTGTTTGTAATATAGGTAAATTAAACATTTTTAAAAAATTTCTTTAATACATTTGTTTATGTATCAAAACTCAAAACTCAATATTTAAGTTGCAATAAATTATTCAAGTTGTGACACCCTTTTAAGTTTGGCAACATTGGATCGCGGTCAAACAAAAATGTATATTATGTTGTCCGGTTTACGAAAAGAAAAAATAGTAGTCTATAAAAACTAAGTTAATATTCGACATCAACATTTTTTCTGTTTTACTCTACACCACAAAGAGTACGTTCAACAACATATTTGTAATTGCATGATAATAAGAATTATTGTTACTGTAAATTAACGTTTATTACTTATATAATTAAAATTTTAAATTAATCTGTAACATGTTAAAGGCAACAACGATATACACACAGGACAAAACGTCGAGAAGAAAGTGTGGTGAATACTTACTCGAAACGTAGCGTTCATCATCGGGGACGACTTCGGTATGCGGAAGTGAATGTTTTTTGGTTAACGTGTGAGTTATGCGGCTACTTAGTTAAGCGACGTCGCCGATCTGGTAGCTGTCCAAATTGGTTAATTTGTTGACGGCGTAATTAAAACGAACGCACGTTTGGCAGTTATTTTATTAAAACATTTAACATTAAATCTTTGGCAAACATCCACGTGTGTTTCACGAAACGTACAATGGCGACGAAGACTTTAGCAGGATTGTTAACAAAAAGCGGTAATATTTTTTTATATACTGGGCGTCCCCCGAATTTTCGGAAAAGTGTAACCAGGAAAAATTTGAAAGTTTGTTATTATATTGATCTCGATGAGAGCCACGAAGAAATATTTTTAAAATGGTTATTGACACCCGATATCAATCATGTACGTGTCCAATTGATTATTTTAATACAGTGCAACCTCAATAATCCGGATCTCCATTAAACCGAATTCTTTAATAATTCGGACCATTGTGTACTTTATAATCTGGATTTGATAGTGCTTGATAATTTGACATTTATTATGGACTTCTTTTATATTTATGTATGTCTGGTTTCGTAGCAACGATTAAGGCGCGTTCCAATTTCCTACGAAATTTTATCTACCAAGCAAACAAAGTTTTATACGGAAATGATAATTTTAGGGCTTGCAGAGGCTGGATTATTAATTTCATAGTCTACATATTTTAAAAATGCGCGGTTAAAAATTGTCGAAGAATATTATTACTTGTTTTTTTCAGATGTTTCAGATATACTGAATCTTCTCACTGAATAAGATCTGACGAACGCGGAAATATGTTATTGGCTTGAGAATGGTGAAGATTTGTTACCAAGGGAAGGGTGCTGCAGAATCATACAAACCAGACTGTTAAGAATGCTGCAGCAGTTCAAAGTTTTAGTTGTTTTGAATTATTGCAAAAGTTGTATTGCTTCAGCAATCCGAATTATTTACTTACCCCGATCACCGTGGTTTTAATTTTTCCGCATGATCGAGGTCGCACTGTACTGTAAAAAAACTTAGACTAATTATGATAGATATGAAAACTTGAGATCGGGGGGTTTTCTCGACTACGATTCATTACATTCTATTTTTTCACATACCACACCCTTAAATCTATATGTAATAATTTTGTTGCTGTCGTTTGTTATTAATTTTTGAAGATTATGACAGAGTGATGTTTTCTTAGTAGATATTTACTGTGACAAAACGCATCGGTTGTGAGATTTTTGCATTTTAATACACTCATCTTATTTATTAATTCTTCGCCAACAATGCTATATCACAAACTTGCATTAATAAATGACAAGCTTTGAATATTCGTTATACATAGGCTTATTAATCAGTTAAGGGTAACCAGATACGTCATCGCACGTTTTTCTCACTTCTTTTTTTGTTCAAAAACTTCGACATGATGATTATGACGTCAAAGAAACATCGTATTTGGATTACCAAAACAAATATCAAAAAAGTTTGGTCAATCTAAGAAACTCAGCTTTTAGAAAATACCGAATTATATCAATGACATTAAAAAATATTTTATGGTTATTTGCCTAACGCACGTAAGAGTTTGCTGAAAGGCTCTATTTTTTACCAAGAAAAAAAACTTGAGAGACATCTCTCAAGTAATCCTCACGTGAGAAGCACGTTACCAAATGGACGTCTAGGTCACGTGACTTCGACGTACAATAAGCGTCTTTTTGGTTGCCTGCGAGTTTTTTATTCCTGAATCCTGAAACTTGAATCTAAGGTGTCGGTATCTCGAAAATATAGAGAGGTAACAATTTCAAGCGACATTTTACTATCAATGTCATTATTTTGACGAGTTGATTGGTTTTTGTTTCATTCATTACGGACCACCCCGTAGATAGCTCGCTTCAGTTTTTTGAAGAGAACCTCTTTTAAGAGATGAAAGCGCTGACAAAATTTTGTTAAACAGAAGTCACGTTCACTACGTTATCTAGCAGCGAATTTAAAGCTAATTTTGAATAACGATTTTTTTTAATTTTCAAAATATTTACAAATTACGATTTCCATCTAAAAAACAATTTTCATATTTTCGTCTGTTATACTTTTCCAAGAATTTGCAATTTCTCAGAAAAAACCATATAGAAAACTAATAAAAAGAGAGTGAAAGATTGAACTAGAATATTCGGCGTATGTTATAGCGCAATTCAGGCGTCACAATTCCAAAAAAAAAAAAAAACAGGACGGTACCCAATTTGAAACAAAATACCAATTTTATTTATTATTGTGTCATATTGAAGAAAACTGAAACAATTCTACATTGTAAGTGAGGTTATTATTTTTATTCTTTTCGTGTAATTAGAATTTCGTTTCCAATAATTGAAATACAATCACTTTTTAGCTTGCATTTGGAAAAGATGGATGTTATAATCCAACTTAATTGTACCGTTATCATTTAGTTTTCAGATGTGGTACGGTTCTGTTCTATCATAACTTATAATCAAAAATCACTTTTATTAATTTTTTCTAAAATAAAAAAAAAGAAAATTAGTTAGTCTGCTGCTCGCATTGGCGCTGGCGATTGCGAGGCCGATATTTCCTGCAAAATTGCCAGTTCTCTTTTTTTATTAGTCTTCTCTATGGAAAAAACACAGAAGTACGTCACATCCTAGTGAAACGGGATAACCTAACGAGATCTGTGGTTTATTTTATGAAGGAATTTTCCTTTCCTTTTATTCCCTTTGCTCTAAAAATCTTACTTCGTCGAACACATTTCCTACATTTGTTTATAATTCGCGACAAAAGAAATCAGCCAGCAACGTTCAAACCAGCCGGCGGAGCAAAAATAACCTTATTGTATTTAAAATTGATGTCAATGCTTTTAATCGAGACTAAAGTCACTCATTAAGACGTAGTCAGTTCCTACACTATCGCTAACCCCTACTTCGCCTAAACGAACGTTTCATCTTGAACTTTTCCGGCTTTCAAACCGATTTGCTCCTCCTTGTCGTTCATATAGCTCCCTTCGAAGTACCTGCGCAGGTTCTTCTGATTCTCC